CCACTGGGATTTATATAATAACTTTGGAGAAAGCTAAAACAATGTAAAATAAAACTCTGTGGAAGAAAAAATAATTACAGAGAATTCCCAGCGGACACATGGAATGCCTGTAGTTGTAGAGCTCTGTACCTTGTTTCACTATCTAATAATAATTAAAGACCTTTTTACCAACCAGAAGTTTCATATTAAAGCACCTTTTCTAGGGCACTAAGAATTTCCTTGGTAGAGAGCAAGATCTTTTTCCAGATATGGGAAGAGAAACGTTCCAGAGAGAAGCATCTTTGATCTAAGACTAGTGAATAGGGTTAGGGAGAGTTGTTCTTGTTGAGTGAAGGAGGTCTGTGGTAAGGGAACCAAGAACCAACAAGCTTAGGGATGCAGAACCTATGACTGTGTGTTTTGAAATAATTTACAGTTGGGTTTAGGTCCTTGTTATGCCACTTATTGGCTCTCTGTTCTTAGGTAAATAGCTTAAACCTCGGAGCTTCACTTTCTTCAAGATAAGCGTGATAAAACTTACCTGAGAATATTGTGAAAATTGTTCACAGAAACGAGGTAATAAGCATTGAAATTGGTTTGCAAATTGGAAAGTTATGTAATTATAGTTATTGTACTTTCAGAATTTTCTTGAAATAAAACCAAGTTGTCTTGCAGGTTTTATATATATATATATATATATATATATATATATATATATATATATATATATATATTTAATCTCCTCACAAGTGCTTTCTCTAGATAGATATCTTTCCTGGTTATTTCTTCTTCACACACATAGCTAACAGATAAGGCTTTTAAGGAAGAATATGCTACTCAGGAAATAATGGGATGGAAGAGACCAGGGTTGTTGCTTCCATTTGTAAAATCCTTTGTTTGTTGCTTTTGGACAGCAACCCGCAAGTCTGTAGTACACAAAGCATCTGATGTGATACCATGGGGACTGGCTACTAATACTAGATTTTCCCATGGTGTTTCACCTATAGAAATCTGATTCTGAAACAAGTGTTCTCGTATTGTGGCAGTTCCAAATATACCTAGACGAAAAAGGAAGTTTTGCAGAGATACAGCAAGCCAGTTCTAGGAGTCCCAAAGAACAAAAGAGAAAAGGAGGGTAGTACTGTGCTTTTTGTAGTATCCTCACTGACACTTGCTATAGCATCAGCATTCCAATGAGATTGATTAGCCTAAGGTACACCTTGTTTTGTGTAATCAAAATGTCAAGACCTTGATCTAACACTACCTCATGTGGACTGCATGATTGCCATAGCCTTTCATATGTGCCCATGTGTATGGTGTGTGTGTGTTGAGTGTATGTATATGTACATGTGGATATACCAGGAGGACCATGAATCTGGACTGTGAATTCTACTTGATAGCTATTACCAAGGAATTATAAGAAATAAAAGGAAATCATCTCATCTGTCAAAATTTAATTTTTCCTGCGTAGAGCAGGATGCTTACTAAGATTTCTTCCTCCAACATTATACAGTGCTGTGACCAACTGATTTATTGAGTCTGCAAACCTTGAACTTTATAGTGTTCTTCTAAACACAATGCTGGAAGGACAATTTTTTTTTTT